TCGCGGCACAGCCTTCAAAGTTGGGACTGCTTTCTGTCGCAGTCCGTTTCTGGCCACCGTGGCCCAGGTGCTTTTTACAGGCAGAACTGGGACGGCGGGAGTTGTATTGCTCCTGGCGTCGGGCGAGAAGGGAGGAGGGGTGGCGTGGCAGCCGGGCCCGTGGCCATGTATTGCGCTATGGCGGTGCATAGGTAGACTCTAATGGAGTCTACGAATTGTATATTTGACCCGTTGGTCAAAGGGAGGAGAGTGGCTTCGACGCCAGAGATGGCGGCGGAGCAGAGGGCCAGATTTGCCGCTGTTTCGGCGGCGCGTCGTTGTTCGGCTTCGACAATTGGTCGAAGTTCCGGAGAGCACTCCGCTTTCGTGGTAGCTTTGGGCTGCGACGTTGATGTTGACGCTGCTATGGGTGCAGCGTTTTCCGATGGTTTTGAGGTGGTCGGAGGAGGTTTGGACGATTCTCCAATCCCGTGGGGGATGGAGAATCGTTGAGGGATTTCCTCAACAATTTCAACAGACACGACCATGTCAGTATCGGGCTCAGCGACGGCGGAGATGGCTTTTCCTTTCCCTTTCATTGAGGCCTTGCTCATCTCCGCGCATTTCGGAGGCTGGACAAGGCCAGATAATTGATCGAGTGCCCTCGGGCGGTCTCTCGTGTTGTCCAACTTGGCGTTGGGACGCTTTTTACGAACAGATGGCATGATGAAAATGCCAGTGAGTCGATTACAATTTATTGAAGGAATGCGACGAGCGCGAGAGAGAGGGAGAGGGGGGAAGGGTGAATATTCGAAATTTCGAATTTCAAAAAATTGTGGGTGTATGTGTTTTACTGTACTACTGAAGTCTTCGACTAGGGTACCTACTCCACGTGGGAAGGAGACGCCTCAGACCATTATTACTTCATTTTATTGTCCTGTTTGAGTCTATGACTATGTAGGACATGCAGGTCCTCTCTGCCTACAGGGCAAGGATACCTATACAAGTAGTATATCCCCTCCTATGCCTCCCATACAGCTCCCCTCAAACAGTACCACCCCTCACAAGTCCTCATTCGATCATACACTTAGAGGAGCTCTTTGCCCTTCATTATCTCCCCTCTCCAGCCAACGAAACGATGGCCATTTGCGGGTGTATGGCAGCCGGGGAAAATGGCAAAAAACCACTGGGTGCGGAGCTCTCCTAATACCGACATTAGGACTAAATCCGAAGACATAGTGATCCTTCTGATGCGTTCGAAGAGGCCGGCCAGCTGGGCGCTGCAGACTTGTGGGTACCTCGGGAAATTCACACTCTGCCTTTCTAGCCTCCTTACAACCCCTTCCCGAAGGTCGTGCTGAAATGTCAGAAAAGTCTTGACAGAGCGTGATTGCTGTATGGTAGCTTAGCCTAGCTTCTTTCGTGCCGTCCAGGGCGCTGGGGAGTGCCGTTGACTTATCGACAATAGAGGCCCTCCTGGCTAATTAGCCGAAATCTTAGTCTTGGCGCCCACAAAAAATCCAAAGTTGAAAACTTCTCGAAAATGTCAGTCCCAGCATGGTCTTCAGAGACCTCTTTCCCCTCTCACTCCACATATCAGCCGCCTGTCCTTCCTCAAGATGTGAAGCCCCATTAGAGCAGCAGTCCCCCATAAACCAAGACCCCACCTTTGTATATTATGGCTTAATTTCCTCCTTGCGGGTATACGTAGCGTCGTAAATTTGTAGTTAGTGATGGCCAGTAATGATTGAGGCAAGCTCCTGTTTGTAATTGGGGTGACGCCTTTGTCGGTCGGCGAGGCGAGACGACATGTGGTTAGATCGAGGTTGAGGACTCAGAAGATAATGGTGAGTGCTGCATGATTGAGAAGTCGTCAAATGGAGATATGCATGTGTTTGCTTTCGACTTCGATTCGGATGCGATTCTTCTTGGCTATCCCAGATATGCAGAGCATACTGAGCGATTACACCGGGACCACTGGAAGGTGAAGAATTCGTCTTTGCTGGCGCCTCAGACCATATTTCGCGCGGAGAAAAATTAAAAGATGATGGAGGCTTGCCTGGATAATTTAGGGTTTTCGAGACGTTCCCCTGAGTGGGTATTGACGGATGAGGGTTGGCTTGGGGTGAAGAAAAAGCCGGCATAACTTCGCAGGGGTACTTGCAAATGATATCTGAGGCATGAGTGCTCCTCTTGTAGATTGAGTCATCTTTTCTGTACTTTTCTTTGATATGGTGTCATAGCTAGATAGCTGCATACGCAATTAAAATCTTATGCAAAAAAAAAAATACTTCCAGCTAACTCTTCTTTTCCACGACATTTAGCAGAGAGCGGTGACTCAACCACGCGCAAGTCTGTTGAGCAACGCTCAATAGCTTCTGCGGCTCTGGTCATACTATTGGCTTTGTCTTTCATCGCCGTAGCTAGTCCATAGGGGTCCACACTTCCTCGGAGCGACCTGGACCCAGAGTGACTTGTCTCTGTGCTTCTTGTGGGGACATGTAGGCTTTGTTTTGTGTCTCGAAATCCCTCGACCCGACATTGCCGAGGCTGCTGCAGTCGCTCACACATACACAGGTTAGACTTTGTGGCCCAATTTTCCGTGAACTCTTCGCCCATATTCGCCGCAGCTGGGTGAAGCACATCTCACTTGGTATTTTAAAGCTTCATTGTGTTTGCGCTGTCATCGACGACGTCCCTCATCTCTGTACCGAGAATCACCGGGTGCCATGGGGGCGCTAGCATGCCGTTACGACGTTATCTAGATGAGATGCGGCAGAAACACCCAGTAGTGGCACACAGTGTCGCGCAGCAGCCTCGACCCACACCCGCCATACCACGTAGAGATGGGATAAGGGGCTTGCATGGGATACTTGAGTATCCAGTAGTCGTCGAGTTTTTTCTTTGGCGGATGTTCACGGTCAAGGTACCAGTGTCCAATCTAAGTTGTAGTTAACGCACTGGTCAGATCGTTAGAAATGTGGTCTCTGTTTAAGCAAACTGAATATTGGACGGTCAGTGAGGGCCATTCTCCCACACCCCTCCTACCTCGATGGACGCAGGGGCCGCGAATATACTCAGCCTAGCAGACCTAAATTTATCCGCATACACATGGATGGGGGAAGAGGTATGTGCTGAGAGGGTTGGGCCGAGGGATGATCTTATCCTCTTCATCAGATCGACCTGCACGCGATCTGTCCGTCGATGGCCTATAGCATTTCGAATGGTCTGATGGAGAATTAGACAACATCTCTCGGTCTTTCTAATGCAGAAGAATAAACTATAAGTCATGGGCCCATCGTCCGGCCGCCGTGCTAAGCGAGCTGTCGGGGCGCACACGACGCCCCCTACCCGGGCATTTCGGGCTCTAGGGACACTGGTTATTCCCCTTCCAGCTCCATTTGCCCCGACAAGCGGCGCCAGCCTGCAATGAGCAGTTTCGACTCACGTCTGGGTGCTAGTTGCACGAGTTGCGAGACATGGCTAATATATCAGAGATCTTATTTTCCTGGCAAAAGAGGAGAGGAACAATCTACGAGGAGTAGCCTGGGTCGGAGAAGAGCCCAGTATGCTCGACGTTCATTGATTCAAGTAGTACAGTAAAAACTGGACGAAAGAAGCTACGAGAGATGCCTAGTTTGAGAGCCGAGGTGGGCACTGCTGGCCATGGAGATTATCAGTGGGATCATCCCGACGGGAGGCCCGCAAAATTATGAAAGTCAAGGCCATGAGCGACGGAAGAGCTGCCGGCAATGCACTGCACGTTCATGGAGCATAATGTCATATCACTTCTCTCGGTCTCTCTTCCTCCAGTGATATAGAGGTAGACTGGAGATTTCGCTGGCCATGTGTTAGCGAGGGGGTATTACAAGTCATATACATGCTAATGTCCATCACGACTCTTCTTATCAACATTCCATGTCCTTCCAGACCGACGAAGTCTCAGTGCACTTAGGTTCGCTTCTTTTTTTGGGCTGCATTCCACTTGCGCCGTCTTTCTCTTTCCACCTCGCTAACGCTCGATACACAGACACAGCGGTGTCCACGTTGCTCAATCCACGCCCATGTCCAAGCGTGAATGGAGCCAAGTATCCTGACGACCACTGCACGAGGAGCTGGCAGATTTTAGGTTGGCGAGGGGAGATGAAAGACCAGCGTCACATCACAGCCTTCTCCTTGCCGAGGATGAGCGGGACTAAACGTGTTCAGTTGCAGTCGGCAGGAGGCCATGAGTGGCTCCATATCTCCTCATCCGAGACTCCAGTCTAACCGCCCCCCCAGGACGGAGCCAAGAATGAGTGGGCGCCGGCCGACGGGGACACCCAGACGTCGGTGTTAAAGGATGTGGGCAGCTTGAGGTCGCCAGGGGATAAGATAGCTTTTCTTTCGCTCAGATTAATACAGGTGAGGAGCGTCTACGCGAGTGCAACCCACAACAGAGAGTGACCGGGTGATCGACACTTGACCAGCGATCATTCATGCAGTATTCTTCAGCATCCCATGACCCACAGGGCTCGGCCTGACCCGGCCCAGGTGCGATAGGGGCGTGGGGGCCTGATACGAGTTGGGATGGAGAAAATTTACTGGGGCGCCGCAGCTGGACATGAGCACATGAGAAAATTAATCAGATAATCTTTGAAGACAAGGTATAGCAAGGGTGCATCGCCGAAGTCTCTAATATGGGCAAAATATAAGATGGCTGCGCCTTTGACTTCATTACGATTGGTCACTTGGGAGAAACTAGGATTAGAGATGATTCATTTTTAGTCATGACAGTGAAGTTGTTTCTGCATCTCAAACTAGTTCCATAATTCGTCAATATATAAGAAATCAAGCCAATCTATAATGGGTACTGATAATTTTGTTCCATGCGCCATGCTGTAAAACGCCCAACCCATATATGATTATGAAATATTTAACTACGTGGACCCGTAGAGTGGCATGTGTTATCGATATCGATATCGATATAATCGAAGAATGCAGACGTAGACGCGCGCCACTGCGCTGGGGGGTGAATAAGGCTAATGGTATTCTACCGCTTGCGTCAGTCTATAATTTGATTCAACCCGTGGCACAACTTTGCGAACCGTGTTCTCGCGAACATGTGGATTCTCTTGATCCAACTTCTTCCAGCCAATTAGCTGTTCTAGTTGCCAGCGTCGTAACATATTCGTTCTGCGCTTGGCAAAAACCATTCGAAAACTTTCTTCTTCCTGTGAGAAGCGACGTTCAATCGCATTGATTTCCTCGTCTCGTTTGACTTCTAGCCGAACTAGCTCTCGCTCCTGCTGTACAAGTAGCTGTTCCATCTGTTTGGCCTGCTTTTCTCGTAGAACATTGACCTTGCTCTGATGAAGCCGCTTAATGTTGTCCCGCACGTTGTATTGCTGGCCCAACTCACGGAGATCTCGTTCTGTAACAACCCTTGCTGGGTTAGAGGCGCTACTGGAGCGACCTAGCTCATCACAGTATGCTTCCATGTGACGTAGGCGAACATGAACGTTAGCCTCATCTTGCTTGAGACTAGTTCGAAGTTCGATCTCGGCAGAGATTTGACGGTCCTCAAGGCTTGTGGCCGCTTTAGTATGGAGCGCTACGATTTTGGCATGTTTCTCTTCATATCTTTCCAGGATATGACTCCGTTCCTGCTCGTGTCGGGTACTCATGACCCATTTCAGTTTACGCTCATAGGCTCGGAAGCGATCTCGCTCGTTGATGTGTCTAGCGCGCAAAGTGGATAAGTCAATACTCGTGTGAATAAGGTGTTCATAGGGGCTATCTCCGGGAATACGAAATTCATCATCAGAGTCAGTAATTTCATCACCGTCAGTAGCAAAAACGGCAGGCTCAAGGAGAGAAGTTTGTTTGTTTTCGTGATAGCAATGGTTTGGACACCCGATTTTCGGCTGCCATACGGCTTCGCAACCACAACAGATTTGAGCTTGACATTGGCAAGTGGTATGTCGACTACCGGGCTCAGCTTCGACTAACATACGACATTTGTAACAGCGATGTACGCCCGTTTTCTCGTCGAGGTGCACTAGAAGGTTCTTCGCCCAGTCAGCAGGGCAGTCTTTGCCCACTTCGTGTGATGTCTTGGAACAAATGGTGCAAAGACTGGTCTTGCAGCTACCACATGTTGCCCGAAATGGTTGCCTAGAGTCCGTCTTGCGGATCTCAGGCAAAAGCTTTCGGCATACAGGATTCGGACATAGGATACGGGGTTTTGGGGGATGGGGGTTTTGGAGGAGGTTTTGACGCAGTTTAATAGTACTTTGGTGACATAGTGAGGATGTGATGACGGCGAAGGGGATTTCTTCGTGGCAGCAACCGGGTGGCGCAGAAATTTTTTCTGATACGCTCTCCAACACCATTTTTTCGATACACCCTTTGCAGTAATGGTGACAACAAACTAGAGTGTGGTATACAGCGCTAGGCGTTAGGAGCTCATGGCATCGGTTACACGTACTAATAGGTTAGCTAAAGCTTCACTCAGAACCAAGCTCGAAGACACACCTGCTCGGACCTAAATGGGACTTGCTAGAGCGTCGACATAGCAGTCGCGTCTGAATCATATTTTTAATTTTCCCATATGACCTTCGTGTTGGGAAGGCGATTGATGAGAGATTTTGAGGTTGGAGGCGAGCATGAGGTTCCAGGTGCAATTCCTGCACCTTCTCCACCACCGCAAACTTGTCAAATTCGGGCGAGGAAACGCTTCGCCGCAGATGTTTTCGATAGACGGGCAGACTGGGCTCTGGTTCGACATAGACTTCATTAGATGACTGTGACGTGAGGCCTGTCGACGCACTCTCACGCGAGCTCGATGAGGCAGACCTCAAGCGGACTGAGGGGACTGATTTGGTCGATTCAGAGGTCGAGTATGAGAGCGCGGGAACCGACAGTTTGGTGGGCTCTGGCATGATGCCCAGCCTCTGGGCTTCTCGAGTAAGACTTTCGTGGTAATGGGAGTCGGTTTGACCGTTGTCTAGAAGGAGGACTTCGCGGGCGTAATTAACCTCATCCTGCTCCTCATGGGCCTCGGCCGTGTAGGGGGTGTCGGAGGTGGAAAACGAAGGCATGACCATCAAGGAGTGAAAGCGAATTCAATGAGATCTCTCGCTGGCTCATCTAGCCGGCATGGCAGATGTTGTTGGGAGGATTATAAGCGGTAATGGGCAACAGAGGCCTATTGCGAGCGAGATAATAGGCAAAAGGATGGCATGCTCTTGTGTGAAGAAAGAATGGACTAAGCTAGGATGTAGCGGAGGCATCGAAGCTATTAAGGGATTCTGCCCGCTACAGAATCCGTGATCTGCGGCCGATGGAAGCGCATGAGAAGCTTTGACTCGGCTAGTGTGGGGGAGCATTGGCGCTGGGACCCTGGACGGGCATGGGAGGCCAACGGTGCTCGATCCGAGCAGTCGACGGGTTGCAGAGACGGCACAGTCCGATTGGCGTGACAGCCATCATGATTGCGATTCGATTTGTGAAGGCGATTCAGGAGTCGCAGCGGTGGTAGTATAGAGCGTCCTGCCAGCGCTCCAAGTAGCTCGACGCTTGCCGTCTGCCCTTTCCTCCCCCTCGAACGCACACGAGTTTGGTGGTGACGAATGAAATTCTCTACAAAGCCCAAAACGTCTCTCAAACTGCCGCGGCTCGCGACTTCCTGACCCTAAGATTAAGTGACGATGGCGGTACAAAGACGGAAGACGCGGCTGTCTCTGACACTGCGGCGTCGGTATGAGAATTGAATTGTGGAAACCACAAGTCCGCGTCGACGCCGCTGATTTGATGCGCCCACTGTGCCGGCGTAGTTTCAGGCTGCCGGCGGCGTTGTCGTGCCGGCACAGCCATTGAGCTAATAGTAGCAAGCGCGCGCGTCGACTCTCTTCAAATTGGTAAAGGCTCAGTTGGCTCCTCGATTGCCAGCCGAAGGGAGAAGAGGGCCGCATCAAGGCCTGGCGCATATGGCGACATAACATAGCTGCCCCAGATAATATGCCTCAGGCATACTGGCCGGAGAGGACGCGCGAGTCTTGAGTCATGGGGAGCGATGGCCGGTGTTGAAAAAGAAAGGAAATGCCCCTTTCCAAACAGACGGGCTGATTCCAGTTCACGCCAGCCCAATCACCACACGAACTTGCCGCCGACGCGTGCTCTAGCAGGCAACCCATGGCGGGCAGGGCACGATCCGTCCAGCCTTCCACGTCGAGCCCTAGGCCCTCGAAGATCGTCGCGCGGCCACTTGATGCGCCGGAAGGGGGCTCCGCGGATGTGGAGAAAGGGGCGCGTCTGGGCTCTCCGCCAACCCGGTGCGAATGCGACGGCGACCTTCGATTTCTCTGCGCTGCAGTCGTTCGGCCGAGTCTACGATGTTTCTCGTCGAACAATTGTAGACGCGACATCCAGACGCGCTGGGTTTCGGCGGCACTGATTTTGGAGAAAGTCTAACAACTGATATGCTGTTTCTGCCCTGACCCCATCTGCATGGGCGGAGGAGAGACTTGGACGGTTTATAGTACCAGCGCCACTTGTTTTTGCTCAATACGAGAGGTTTATCTTGCCCCTCGCGACGCCTTCATTCTCCTCTGGACGTATCTCTCATCGATAGTTGCGATTCGCGCGCAGCAGGATGCATCGGTGGAAGTTTAAAAAATGCCGGCGACGGGTGAGACCTCGTGTGCGGATTGCACCAAGTCTATTGCCATACCATGAGTCCCATGAAATTCATCAACGACATCGACCAGTGTTGCACTTCATACTTCGCCATGCAACCTCGCCGGCGAAAGCAGACCTGGCCCCAGACCTCGGTGCTCTCTTGAGCCTTCAGAGCCGTGGGCTCCTCGTCTGCAGAAGACGTATGCGAGGTTGTATGCAGAATGCCAGGTTCATAACAGGCGTCGTCTTTCCACGCTATCTTTCGATCGCTCATTGAACCTCGCTGTGCCAATGTAGGCTGCTGCCGCCGCAAAAACTTTTCTCGGCTGAATTCGCCTGATGAAATGTCCCGCCGCAAACCCACGCGCCTTCAGCGGCGTCACATCACACAATTCTGCGCCCTGCGTCAATGAAAAAGCGCTTATCCAACACACCAAGGACCATCCTTATTTCCTGCGACCTGGCTCCTGGCTAGTTGTTGGCGTGTGTGGGTCCTCCATTCTTTCCACCGCAGCCATGCACCGGGGTCTCCGACGGACGATGATCGCATTTGGGTCGTATGTAGCCCTGCCTGTCTGCAGGGAGCGCACTTCACGCGCCTAAGGGATCATGGTATAGGCGCAAGGGCAGATAGTGGTCCGTGTCCTTGGCTCACTGACCCCTGCGCTGAGTGATGAAATCAAATCCACTCCTGCCGTCGACCAAGGTTTTCTTTATCCGCTCCATCAACGTACGCGAATCCCACCTCAGGTATCATCAATTCAACCACTAAGCTAGGCTAAGGATGATCTATTGCCTGTCGGTGGTGTCCACTACAAAGCCAAGGATGAAAACCTTTCACAGCGTCAAGATTTAGTCAGGACTAAGGATGGATCTGTGAGTCTTTGACTATATGACGATCAAGAGGCATGGCATCGACTTATTTTGACCGTACACTTGACCTGCAGAAATTCAATGATTGTAATTAACATCGAAATCTTTGATTCACATTTCAATTCGAAGCGCAAATTGGCTCAAGCTTATCTGACATTCTTGTCAAACATTTTTGGCACACTCCACCTTGAATTTTCCCACAAGATCTTTCCCAGCCAGATTCATTTCGCGGCCATACTAAGCACCTACAGGAAATGTAAAGTCAATATTTACATTGAATAAATACAGGACATCTAATTTTCCACAACAGCAACTTTAAATTTACGCTTCGAGTGCCAGACTTAAATGCGTCTACACCTCGGCTAAAGACTCCATTGACTCGATCTGCAACAAATCGTTACCCACGAAATAGGTACATTCCTTAGCAGGCACACCAACCAGAGCGTTTGATAAAGGCTGGGATATTAGCGTCTCAATCTTGAGTTCTGGTTCGCATGTCCGGCCTCGGTGATTAGGACGATAATAGCCACGGCGCTAGGGCGGAGCTAAGGGAATTATCCAAGGTTGGTGAGATGGCGAAATTGGCAGAAATATCAGACAGAAGCTACAACAGAAGAATAGAAGGGACGAAAAACCTACGAAGCCCCCAACGAACGAGAAGGTCTCTGTACGTGATGAAGTAATGCCGAAACGAGATGAAGTTGGGACTGAAATGAAGGGGCAAAGTTGTGACTATGCCAAGGGCTTGGGCGCGCGGTGGCCGGGTCTGAGGAGCAATTTACGCTTCATACTGTCAAAATCGAGTAATCTGGGCCGTCGAACTTGACATGATTCAACACGTAGATGAAATCTAAGGTCGTCTGGTTATCGGGGTGGAGCAAGGTTCATGTACCTAATGATAGTTAACCTGATACAGCCCCGCCCTACCCGTGCTCAAGCTTCTATGAGAGTGCGGAGACGGCCAGACGTCTAGCTCTTTAATACACATGTATGCATACGTACACACACTAGTCTACCGCTTTCTTTGTTTCCACACATCACCTTTACTCGCGCTAATGCAGACGTGACGCGCGCAAAGCCCCTCAACGACAAATTCTCCTCCCGCACGACTAGCCTCGTTTCTGCGCTAGATCGGATCCATTCGTTGCTTCATCTTGACCATCCGCCAAACTGCCTTGTGTGACCGCAGTTGCCAGAGAAAATTCCACGCGCCAGCTAGTTAGAGTTACCAACGCAAAGAGATAAGCCTTGTTATTGTGAGATGGGCGTCGCCGAGTGCGTGGATGAGATCGTAGCGGCGATTGGAGGCCAGTGGGGAGAGGTGTTTCTTCCCTTCGCCCCAAAATAACGCACGACACGAGGGCTGCATTTGCTCCTCTCGTCAAAAGAGCCATCTAACATGTACACCCGAGCAGTGTGACTAATTCAGCCTGGATATTACTTCAGCTGTGGCTGGTCGCCAAATGTCGTGGGCTGGTGCCAGGCGCGGCCATTCTGCGACAGTCCTTTTGTCGGCAGAAAGACGCCCGTACATGGAAACGTAGGCGACACTGGTTTGCTAGTCACTGCCTCGCCATGCATACTTGCCCTCGGCGAGGAAAACAAACAATGAACTACGTCTTTATTATGCGCCGGTGCCTTCTAGTCTCGTGCATGAGGCCCCGTTTTCGGGAGGCTGATGATCAGACTAGACAACCACTGTCTCAGATGGCCGCTCATTGTTGCTGACTGCGCGACTTGCTGCGAAAATCCATGTCAGCACTCTGGAAAAGCCTACAGCTAAGGCCTCAGCACCAGTCTATCTGTGGAGGGAGTGGACGACTGTGTTGTCTGCTCGCCTCTCTCCAAACATTCCGGCCACACACTGTAGTCATGGCATGTCCAGAGATTCTATGCTGGAGCTTGTCTGTCATTTACAACTCTTAAATGCAAGGGTTCTGCACCAGGTATAGTCTCATGTTTCAATTCGGTTTCCGTGCCTCTGGGTCAGGTAAAACTGCTATACTGTACATATTTGCTCTTGATTGACCATTGCGAAGTGGGCTCTATGCCACATTCATGACCAGGGCGTTTAGATTCTCTATACACTTCAATTAACGGTATTCCTGTGTATAGACCTTGGTCGGATAGCATTGACGGAGTTCATGCGTAGAGCTGGCACACAGGCCATCATGGCAACAGATATTGCTCTATAATCATACCATGAGATGATGGAGGTACTTTTTGGCTTTGACCTGGTATATTATATATGAATTAATGATGCAATATTTTAATTGCTAGGGTGTAGAGGCTAGATTGGACAGCTACCACCACCATGACCACTGCTATGATGGGGTGAACAAGGGAAATCAGTTGTTCTATCGAAAGCGGAGTCAATTGATACTAGTAATCGTGTTAGCTTTTTCGTACTTTTGTCTGAAGCTTTAGTGCTCGACGTACTACTCGTCGGAGAGCGAATACTAATCACCTTTCACGTCTCCCTGCACGATTTCTCGTTACGTTTAGTCCAAGAGTTAATGGTATAACCATTTCTGTAAAGTCGATATTGGCTCAC